ATTAATTGGGTTGGTGCCTATTTGAATTCCAGTCATTTTATCAGGAGTCTCAGACTGGCTTCTAAAAATCAGTCCTCTCTGGTGTCCAATTCTAGCATGTGGGTACATGAAACGCATTCCCAGGATGTGCAACTGGAGACCCAGCTTTCAGTGAAGGATAATGTGCTTTCTGGTAGAAGTGAAACAGAGGCGTCCAAAAAAGCATCAGGCTCTATCACTGGAATTGGTTAACAAAGCCTGCATAACAGCCTTATTTTTCAGATAACTGTAATATTTATGCTTCATCTCTGAATCAGTTACTATCTCCATGTTACAATATTGATAGTTCGGTCCACAGTCATTTATCATTATCAGTGATGAAAAATGACAGAAAAGATAATTGTCATGAATCAGTTTAAATCTGTTTTAAAACCCTTTTTAATAACTATTCAAAAGTGGCAGAGGTGTACAGTACAGGGGGAAATTCTTTTTTATAAATTCTTCTGTACAGCATGATTTTTAATCTTTTCCTCATATGTGAATGTGACTTTATTTGCAAAATAAAAAAATTAAAATGAAAAAACCCTTAAAAATGGAAATAGCACTATAAAACTTTTACAGTAGAGACCTATGAATGCCAAAAATCACTAATATATTAATTTATTGTCACAATTGCCTGACATACATCATTTTTCAGTGTTTGTTTTCATAGAAATAATCAAAATTAACTTTTTAAATATCTTTTCTGAATAAAATCTGTATTTATAAAAGGGCAAACAATTGTAGCCAATGTTTACTAGAGAAAGTTTTGTCCTAGACAAACTAATGGCTTTCTTTCTTCCCATTTTTTAAAAATTATAATGTATTAAGAATACTTAGCATGATTTATTTTAAATATGAAAAAGTTATATTTTGAGTAGGTCTCTAATATACTGCCAAGAACCTTGGCTAAGGGCTGGATAATTTTTGTTTACAAATCAGGTACTATCCCCACAGAAAGAACTGAGAAACGCTTTCACCTTTTCCCCAAAAAGAAAACACAAGAAAAGTGGCAGAAACTTTCTAAGTCCTCAAAGTCGTGCATGTTGTTGAATATTTGGAAGACGAGGTGCAATCTGAATAAGAACATGAAACGTCAATATTAAGTTCAGATAACTAAATACATTGTAAGATAGAGCAGAGGGTTAAAAGTGCTAGGCCCTAGGGACAGAGTAATCTGAAGAAAAGCCAAGAATCTGAAAACACTCATGAAACCATGAGTACTCACTGAACACAGCATACTGTCCCAACCCTAAGTCGTATGTTAGCAGTGATAAGATTAAGGCAAGACAGAAGTATAGTAAACAGGACTTGGATGAGGATTTTGAAGTAGTCCTCCTCAATATATATGAAGATCAAGGCCATTCTTATGTTGGCGGCGCTGAGGTTCAAAATAAGCAACTGAGTTGAGGGTTAATGAGAGAGCAAAAGACCTAGCAGAAGTTTCACAGAGCTGCGTGTTAGTTCCTCATCGGCCACGCGTTAACACTGTCCCTTTGACCACTACGCACATACACACGATCACACACATGTACTTATAAACACACACACTATTCAATTACAAAACCATGGCTCTCCTGACAAATTTTTTTTCCAATGTTAACATTTTTGAAGATGCTTAATTATTCTTTATGCAGGTGTTTAGTTCAGTAAATGTTATTCTATAAAGAATCACTACAGGGTTAATTTAAAGGGCATTAAACTTTTTTTAAAACAGCATTATGAGGGGTGGCACCTGTGGCTCAATGAGTAGGGCGCCAGACCCATATACTGAGGGTGGTGGGTTCAAACCTGGCCCCCGCCAAACTGCAACCAAAAATAGCCAGGCATTGTTGTGGGCGCCTGTAGTCCCAGCTACTTGGGAGGCTGAGGCAGGAGAATTGCCTAAGCCCAGGAGTTGGAGGTTGCTGTGAGCTGTGACTCCACAGTACTCTACCAAGGGCAACAAAGTGAGACTCTTGTCTCTAAAAAAAAAAAACCAGCATTATGATTTTGATATATGAAGTTGAGAATAGCCAATTCTCCTCCCAGTGCCTGGTCCCGGACCTGTCCCTGCATGGCAGTAGATACCTTCCACTGACTCTCTCACTGACCCATTTGAAAGTATGCTGCTAGCACTTGCAATGTGCCAAGCATCTACCCTCAAAGAATCTACTAAATGAAATGAATTTGTCCATTCATAGGACAATAGAGGGTGTCTTAAGATTACTAAATGTCGAAAGCTATAACCAAATAGCCTAAGAATATGGGGAGGGGGGAGGGAGAAGGGAGGGGGTAATGGGTGGAGGGAGGGAGTTTGGAGGGATTACTTCTGAGGTTTACCTTATGGGGTACAGGTGAATCTTTCTAAGAGTAGAATGTGAA